ATATTTCCTTTCTAGGGAAGAGGGAACTGGGAAGTGTAGGCAACCTGGAGAGAATAGATGAGAACAGAAGTACATCCTCAAAAGAATAGGTAACAGCTTGTCTAGATAAAGCATCAACTTCCAATCTCTTCTATTTTTGATTCCTGTTCTATGTTAATCTTCCCTGATATAAAAATTTCCTAAGAAGAATTTTCTTGATGATCGGTTTCCTTCTGGAGAATCTGCTTTTAAGCAGCTAAGGGATATTTAGGAAAAGACTTTTTGTGCATTTGCTGCTTTCTAAATGACTTTGGTTTCACATAATCATAACACTAATTCAAGACAACTTGAGAGAGTATTTTCTGGATTCCTTTACTTGTAACCTGCCTGCCAGAATCCTGTTCCCAAGAGACGCAGGTAGAGAGTGAAAGAGCAGTTGACCCCTGAACGACATGGAGGTTAGAGCACTGACCACATGTGCAGTCGAAAACCTGTGTAGAACTTTTGCATCCCTAACTCAAGTACTAATCGCTTACTTTTGACTAAAAGCCTTAGTGATGAAATGAATAGTCGATATATTATATACCCTTTTCCTCTAATAAAGTATGTTAAAGAAAAAAATGTTATTAAGAAGATCATAACAATGAGTCAATATATTTATTACTAATTAAGTGCTTACTCACAGGTGACACACACAGAAAAAAATGTAGGTGGATCTGCAAATTTCAAACTCAAGTTATTCAAGGCTTAACTGTACCAGGATGAATGTAACAGTCCTGTCTGTAGCCTAGGGCTTTCCCATTTGCTGTACCTCTGCTCACTTCCAATGGCCATATGTATATCTTATGTTCTTTATGATCTTGGGCAGAGAACTCTGCCTGCATGCCCTGCTAGCCAGATGGCCTGCAATGTGTATCTCTTAGGAAAGTTCTATGATTTGACTGTGTCCTCCAGAAGCCATCTGTTGTAAAGTTAATTCTCAGTGTAAAGGTATTTCCAGGTGGGGCCTATAGGGATGTGTTTAGGTCATGAGGATGGAGCCCTCTAGTGGAATTCATTAATGTCACTATAAACAGGGATTATAAGGCTGGGATCTCGCTCTCTCTTCTGCTTGTCTGTCATGTTAAGACATGGCCTTCCTTCCTTTGAAGAACTCAGCTATCCAGGCATCATCTTGAAAGTAGAGAAAGCTGACCTTAAGCTGCCCATGCCTTGATCTTAAATTTCTCATTCTCCAGAAGTGTGAGAAAATAAATTTCTGTTCTTTATGAATTACACAGTGACAAGGAATCTGTTACAGCAGCTTGAAACAGAACAAGAGAGACACCTGACAATCAGTGAGGACAGGATGAGATGTATACATACCACAGCTTCCTAGTCTCCCAGGTGGAACAGCCCAGAGGAATTTAGTCCATGTTTCCACATGTGGTTGATCTTCAGTTCTCCTGAGTCAGGTAGGTTGTTGATGTGTCTTTTACCATTCATCTTCTGTTCCCTCCCTCACTTTCCTCTTTTCCTCCCAGTGTAAATTTGCTGCTTAAATGGAAATCATCATTGCTGGTGGACCCAAACTAAGACAGTAAAAAATAAAATCATTATTCTTTGGTACGAGGGATATTAATCATCTCAATTCTTATCATTTCTTTATCTTTGACATGTAGGAATATTCAGGAAACAATTTTTCTTTACCAATCTATTTTATATTGAATTTATGCAATAATTTTTTTTTTCCGGGTGTTAAAACCAAAAATTAAGTTGTACGCCACCAACCAGCTGAGTGGACTCCTCTTTTGGCAGAGAGAACTTCAAAGAAATCTGAAAAACTAGGTTAGGCCCTGACTGGCAGGTGGATTTAGATGTGCCTCATTATGCTCGCCTCCCTTTGGGGTTCAGACAAAACTGACCAGCATTATCACTACAGCTGAGATCTTTGGACTGACAAAACAGACTCTTTGTAGCAATAAGATACCATACTCCAACATGACAGATAATAGGCCCTGAAGAAAATCAAAATATTTTACCCTAAAAATATTTATTTGACCTATTCGGAAGTGGTCCTGCAAAGCTACCTGTTGTCGGGAAAATTTGCATTTTGTAGAAAATCTCCTCCCCTTACTAAGTCTTTCCCAAATCATCTGACATTTTTTTTTCCAAAGGCCGAAAAACCCCCCCCCCGGCCACATCTACCTTGTCTGCTACCCATAGGATTCATCTACAGGACAAGAACCTTGACTTCTACGCTCCCTTATCTAAACTCAAGCATTTTTTTTATGATGAATTCAACTGTTTAGGCAGAGCTTTCCTCTTTCAACCAGT